CCTCTTTTTTTTAAATCAGTTGATTGATATATTAAAACCTTCTGCTAAGTGTGACAAACACAATTCTGGAAACAGTATCTAAATTGGTTAAAACCATCGCGAGATAATCTCACTCAAACATACATACATATTATATACCTCTACCTACAGGTTAAACTGAAAATCTTCTTCTTTTTTGAAAGTTGCCTATGACTGTGCAGTTCCTAGTCATTTGAAGGAAGTACATAAACAGTCATCAGTCTTTTCATGCATGCTCATCGGTTAAGGGTACTTTTTCTAGGGTACTTAATTCAGTCCTTCTTTAATATATCGCCCATCTGGTAAAAACCAGGGATGTTAGGGAGCTCCGTAACCTTAACCGAAACTATCGGATATCCGACATAAAAAATATCCGTAACCGTAACCGAATCAGAAATAAAAGTTTCGGATACTATCGGATAGCGGCATGACGTATAAACGAAACAATTATATTAGCTATTTGTATTTTACTTTTGAAATTCCTTAAAATTTTAATATCCGTTACCGAAATTATCCGAAACTAACGGATAATCCGAAATAATTTCATATCCGTACCCGTAACCGTATCCAGTATAATAATCATTTCTATATCCGTATCCAATCCGTATCCGAAATTTCATATCCATAACATCCCTGGTAAAAAAGAGGTATGTAAGAACGGTAGCGATTGACGTTACATTTTTTTTTATGGTTTAGGAGGCAGACGAGCGTACGGATCACCTGATGGTGAGCGATCAGCGCCGCCCATGGACACCCGCCACACCAGAGGAGTCACTGGTGCGTTGCGGGCCTTTTAAAAAGGAATACGCTCTATTTTTTAAGGTTTGAAGGTCGTGTCGGTTCGGAAATATCGCTGACGACATATCATTCCACAATTTTGCTGGGCGAGGCAGAAAGCAACGTGGGAAGCGCACAGTTGTGGCTTGCCAACCATCTATATGGTGGGGATGCATAACATGCTGTCGTGAGGGTCGATGACGAAAATATGCGGCAGGTATCAGGTCAAATAATTCCTCAATGCACTGCCCGTGGTATAAGCGATAGAAAATACACAACGAGGCTACATCTCTACGCATTGCCAAAGTGTCTACAGAGTCTTTGTCTACCCCCAGGGGTGAGTTTATGTATCGGACTATATAGCGGACCCGACAGACGTTGTCCTGTAATAATAGGTATAGATAAATAACCTAGAAACCGACTGCAGCGCCATCTGCCGGGCTAATTTGTGAATCTAAACCATTCCCAGATCCCCTTGAACACACACAAAAAGTGTCATCAAAATCGGTCCAGTCGTTTTAGAAAAGTTCAGTGACATACACAATCACAGAAGAATTATATATATAAAGATTATTTTCTCCTGTATCGTGGGTGCGATCACTAACATACAAGTTCACATACACATGACACCCAGACCCGAAACAACAATTTGTGGATCCACATGTGGATGTACGCACATCGCTATACGTGGCACGGCAGACATGTGCCCAGCCACCGCGTCAACCTGTCTGTACGACAATCATATTTATGTTGTACCTGCTTACCGATAAAAAAAGTCAAAGCTATATGAAAAATCAATTTAACTCTAAAAAAAACAAAACCCATAGATTGTCGTATGCGCCAAAATGTCGGCGCATAACTTAGAACGTTTGCAGGGATCAAACACGTATACAATACCTATTTGTTGTGAATTAAATCAACACGTCATAACATCAAGAATAATACCTTATCTAGATGTAATTCGATCAAAGTACATATTGTTATTTTAATTGTTGAAATTGATTGTTAAATTAGTATATCATCATTATTCATGTTTTCCTCAAGACATATACTTCTCTGTTTTTAATAAAACTTAAGCCTAGTGCTCACCACAATTTGTACGCCTCCGGGTATAGCATAGCGCTCTTTTTTATTACCGTAATATATAAGACCTATATCTGTATGCACCTATGTTAACAAACAAAAGTGATTTGATTTTGGTTTGACGATTAGCGGGAAACAGGCAAGAACCGCGAAAAAAAACTAAATCTCATCAGAGGTCAACATCCACTTTGGATCACGAAACCAAAGGAGTAGGTATATGAATGTAGATTAACTTTACTATGGCTACATTTTTTGAAATCTAAATTAAAAAGTCATTAATACGGTGCCGTCCAGTCCTTAGATAGATTAGAAGGGTGAGTTCATCGGCAGCTTGGCCTAAAGAGGCCCAAAAAGGGCCTATAAGGGCTTGAAACACTAACTACTTAAATTAAAATATAAAACCAAACTACAACACTACTGGCTGTATTGAAACCATAGACAAAGAAAAAAAAATTTAAAAAAGCAATAATATGTCAATTTGTTTGTCTATGATTTCAAATTGAAATAGAACTAATTTAAAAATATTCGAAAACACTGTTCATAAAAAAAAATAATTTGAGCAAAATAATTGAATAATTATTTAGTTTTAAATTTATTCAATGTAAATATCGCTTCGTTATTGTTTATTTAAAGATTTACTAAAGAATATGACAACCTCGTCGGTTGAGTGGTTAAAGTGCTACCGTCAATCAAGGAGTCGCTGGTTTCATTCCACATAATACGTATAACGACTGTGATTCTATTTCGCTATTTCAAAAACTAATAAGTTTACGCAGTCATTGAATAAATATGAATAACAATTATTTTGCTTAAATAAAATATTTTTTGACTAACAGGGTAAAGAAGAATCAAACGCGATTTGTCTTTACGCTTTCAAAATAACATGATTCAAAACAATATCATATTGTGTACATAATAACAATATGATATTGTTTACACTAATATTATAAACACTAATAGTGTAAACAATATCATATTATTTACACAAATATTATAAATGTGAAAGTTCGTTTGTTTGGATGTTGGGATGTTTATATGTTTGTTTGGATGTTTGGATGTTTAGATATTTGGATGTTTGTATGTTTGTATGTTTGGATGTTTGTCTGTCAATCACGCTGAAACTACTGATCGGATTTTGATGAAATGATAGGTATTAATTAGAGGTAGATGAGGACAAAAACAGTCAGTCCCCTGTTATATCTGGATACACGGCTGTATGAACATAATAAGCTCAATAACTACTAGATGCATATCTGTCCAGTTTTTACCAATAGACGAACAGATATTGTTATTTTTATGGCATAAGCCGGTTAACGAGCAGACGGACCACCAGACGGTAAGCAATCAGCGTCGCCCATAGACACCTGGAACACCAAAGGCATTACAAGTGGGTTACCGGCTTTTTGGGGATTAGGAGTTTTAGGATCGATGGGGATTCAGGGATTGGGGAGATTGGGGAAGGGGAGGGTAATTGGACCTCCGGTAACCTTACTCACATGACGAAACACAACGCAAGCGTTGCTTCACGTGGGTTTTCTGCTCGGCCGTGGTGTCACTCCGGTCGAGCCGGCCCATTCGTGCCGAAGCATGGCTCTCCCACACTTGATGTGGAACGCGACACGCCATACGTTCGGGTAGCCGAGCAAAGCAGTTGAAACCGCGGTGCAGTAGCTAGCTATTTCTATGACGTATTATCAATTCATACGAAGGTATACAAGAATAGGGTAGATGACTTATTTTTATTTTAATGTCCGTCTGGTTGATTATTCAAAAACAACGGCCCGTTCCTGCCGAAGCATGGCTCTCCCACACTTAAGGTCGTAGTGCTAAGGAGGAGGCGGGACGCGTGAGGCAGCGAAGAGCTGCCTCCTCGCAACCCAGCCGTCGCGAAGGACACACCGGGCGTCGGGGATCGCGGGACGATCTCCGGCCACCGTAAGCGCGGGCCTGCGGACGGCGAGCATGGGTGGCTCCCCGTCCGACCAGAAACAGACCCGAGCGTACGGCGCGTCGCGTTCCGCGCGCGCCTCAAAGAGCCATCAGACCACCACAGATGGGGCCCAATAGGGCCGATGCCGATTCGGAGTCGCGGAGAACCTAACGGGTAACCGGGGCTCCGGCTCGACGTGCAGGAGAAGGAACGGGGTGGTTTTTAGTCAGTAAGAGTCTGACACTCCCTCCCGCCTCACCCAGGCGGGAGCAGTCATTCGATGATTTTCCCCCCTTAAAAAAAAAAGGTCGTAGTGCTATGTGCTTGTGTGAAATACGATTTGAAAATAAATACATTAATATTATTTTAAATAAATTGTTTGAATCATATTATTAAGCTTTCTAATCAGTTAAACGAAGCACTTACCTGCTCTCAGAACCATGGATTCAGTACCTACTTTAAAAACCTCTAATCATAGATCTTGTTTGGGAATCCAACATTTAGCAACCCTATTATCTACCCGCCCCAGCTTCGCACGGGTGCAATATGCGTGTGTTATACATATAAACGTTTCTTAAGAATTACTCTATATAAAAAAAAACTGCCTCGTTGGCCGAGTGGTCGTAAGTGCGACTGCCGGGCAAGGGGTCTCGGGTTCGATTCCCGGGTCGTGCAAAGTAAAACTGGGTTTTTAAAAAAATCTCAGTAATAGCACGGAGTCTGGAATTGTGCCCGGTATATGGCAATAGGCTCACCCCCTATTACATGGGACTCATAACATAAATAGTGAAAAGTGGGTGTTACATTATACAGTGGCATAATGTGCACCTCTGCCTAACCCTTCGGGGATAAAAGGCGTGATGTTATGTATGTATGTAAAAAAAAACCGCATCAAAAAATGATGCCGATACGGAGCCGAGAAAAACAACGGGGTACCGAGGCTCCGGCTCGAAGTGTAGAAGTACGAACGGGGTGGTTTTTTTTTAGTCAGTTAGAATCTGCCACTCGCTCCCGTCTCACCCAGGCGGGAGAAACCATTCGATGATTTTCCCCCCTTAAAAAACCCCTCATTTGCCTCAGGTAGAAGCTAGTATAATATAAATAAAAATGTACAGTAAAGGTACTGAATCCATGATTCTAACACTAAAAAAATGCACAATCTACGCTAAAAGTTGAAGTGAAAAAGACTCACTTGTTAGCAGCCTTCTGAGCTTGCTCGATTAGGACAAATGTTATCCTGTATTGTACGATGAGGATCATCAGTTTCACCAGTTCCTCCCACAAATCTTTGCAGGTGGATATGCACATTCCTCCATTGTTAAGTCCAAGGTATGGATAAGGATCTATTTCGTTCTGGAAAAAAATGTTTTTTCTTTTATTATTACTAGCTTTTACCCGCGGCTTCGCTCGCGTCACAAAAGGACAAAAAATAGCCTATGTGACATATACCAATACACACAGCGCCATCTATACCAATAATTTCGTTTTCCCTCGAGAATATCAAATTTTTCCGGAATAAAAAGTACCCTATTATTTAATCCAGACTTGTAACTTTACGTCTGCAAAATTTCAAAGCAATCGGTTTAGTAGTTACGGCGTTACAGTGGAACAAACAAACAAACTCACTTTCCGATTTATAATATAAGTAAGGATGTTTGCGGCTTACTTACGTAAACTATGCAACTAGAGAATTGTATTGTGAACCTGATTGAAAAAGAGTAACCTATGGAGTTTCTTGCTCGTTCTTCTCCATAGGAATCTATACCTTGGAATGAGCAAATAGCTTCATTTTTAATTTTATTATTGACGTTCAAAAGTGCCTTTCTGGTCTAATTGAAATAAATGATGAATGAATGAATGAATGAAATGAATGAATTTGACTTTGACTTTAACAGATTTTTTATTGTTTCGTTTGTTATTTCTATAACATAACATAATATAAAATAACATCACGCCTTTTATCCCCGAAGAGGTAGGCAGAGGTGCACACAGAAGTAACACCAACTTTTCACTATTTATTTATTTCTATACTCTACATATTTTTTAATATTTGATTATAAAAAAACAAAACCACTGCCTCATTGGCCGAGTGGTCGCAAGTGCAACTGCCGTAAGGGTTCGATTCCCGGGTCGGGTAAAGTATTACTGGGTTTTCTTTTTTTAATCTCAGTAGTAGCACGGATACCCGGCAATAGGTCACCCTATTACATGGGACTCTTATATAAATAGTGAAAAGTGGGTGTTAAATTTTACAGTGGCATTAAGTGCCGTAAAGTGCACCTCTGACTACCCCTTCAGCGATAAAAGGTGTGATTATGTAAAAAAAAATCATTTAAAAATATAAAAGGTCCACCAGTGACGGGTGAAATCCGAACTACTGGCGGTCAGTGCTCCAGAGAGAGGAACTTCGGGACAATACGCGCCGTGTCCAGAAGAACTGCTTTCTGCATCAGACCCTTGACCCAACCATCTAACGCTAGCCTACTCAGGTGTTTTTTTTTCCAAAAAACGTTGCCCCACCCTAGGATTTCCTCCTGTGTCGTGGGTACGTTTACAAACATACAAGTTCACATACACATGACCCCCACAGACCCGGAACAACAATCTGTGGATCACACACAGATATAAAGAAGTAATATTTCTGTGGAATCACACAAAGAGTTGTTCCGTGCGGGAAAAGAACCCGCGACACATTGCGCAGCAACCGGTTACCCAGCCACCGCACCAATCGTGCAGTATTGGTAGAGGCTATAAGCTATGAGGCCTTTGGCAGATATTGTTTTACTCAAAAGGTTTTATTTAGTTAGCTAACTTCATTTGTTTGGGTCTTAGCCCAACTATAAAAGTATTTAGACACCGTTGACAGACTGTGAAGCAAAAACATCGTGTGGAAACCTAAGCTTACCTTATGATTTTTTTTAGATCGACATTTTATTTAATGATATAATTAATATATACATCTTAAAATATAAATAATTTAAAAGTAAAATATTTACACCTTAAAAAATAATAACAATAAAAATATATCATAATGCATCAAAGAAAACATTTTCCTCATCGCTACCGTGAGGTAGGGTGCCCAATAGACTGGCAGAATTGCCACGTTGAATGGCACTGCTTAACCTTTGCCCAAGGTAGTAGCCAGGCCTTCGATCACCTGAAGTGTCAACCATCCTCCTTACAATATCTTTGTAAAGAAGATGTGCACTTGGGCCCCACGGTCCTAAAGTTTAAAATGAAAAAAGAAACAAAAACCTTATGATTTCTAATTATAAGTTTAAAATCACCAACCCGCATTGAGCAAACGTGATGATTAATGTTCAAATCATCTCCGTGTGAGAAGAGGCCTTTGGTCACTTATAGAGGTAGGCTGTCGATGATGATAAGTATTATTAGGTAGTGGTTTAAATGAGAAATGAGGCGAAACACGAATTCGAAACGTATAGAGTGTTTGTTCCATCCCTTGAAGTTCCATTATTACACTACGTTACTCAATTTTAAGTCGCCCCTAACTATAGTTCTGTCTCCACAAATTCTTTGTAAAATGACAGAGACGGCACGATATTTAAGCACGACTTAAAATTGAGTAACGTTTCAGTATTCCAGCATTAGTTCGTTTTACACTAGGACCATGGTACCTAATATCAAAGATGTTTTCGGAAATTATTTCATTGTCAAACCAATAAAATGATTAAAAAATCTGATAAGTCAATTTCGAGTTTAAAAATAGAGTAAAGCAAATAAAAAAGCATTTAAAAATAATTCAATAAAAAGTTCTATCGCCCCCGGGTGGGCTCGAACCACCAACCTTTCGGTTAACAGCCGAACGCGCTAGCCATTGCGCCACGGAGGCTTATACAATGGCATCCAAAATTTTAAACTACTCTCCAGGAATTACCATTAACTTCTCTATTTCCAAATAGACTATTCAATAATATATTTTTGTCCATACACAATGATAAAGAACAATAGGACAGTTGGCAGTGTATGAAACTTAAAAAAATTTACTTATTTAGTCCATCATTTAGTAAAATGAAAAAATATAAGACGCGTATTTTTTGTTATGTCGTCTAATAAAATAATATTTAGCTAAAACGAAATTTAGTTTAGGAATACGCCAGCTACGTCACCCTAAAAAATGTATTAAATCGTGACGTCACACGATATTTCAAATGAATTTATTGTCGTAAGTACTTATTAACTGTTGTGAGAAAAAGGAGATTCATGTCTAGTATTTTGATTTTTTTTTGGCATCAGCGCCAGGTGCGTTACCGGCCAAAGTCGCAGGCAACAGCTAGTCCTTGTAATATGACAGATATCATAAAGAGATACATAGACTGCACGGTTGCTGCGGTGGCTGGGCAACTGGCTACCGTGCAACGTGTCGCGGGTTCGATTCCCGCACGGAACAACACTTTGTGTGATCCACAAATTGTTGTTTCGGGTCTTGGTGTCATGTGTATGTGAACTTGTATGTTTTTAAACGCACCCACGACACAGGAGATAATCCTAGTGTGGGGCAACGTTTAAAAAAATAACATAAATTAAAAATTACAAAAACATACAAAGAGTATCACTGAAATCGAACTCAGTGGTTTTCTATTCACATCAATAGCCTATAGTTGACCAAAGGTCTCATCTCAACGAAGAAGATTTGAGCATTAATCACCACGCTTGCTTAATGCGGGTTGGGGGTATCTTCACGATATTTTCCTTCACCGTTTGTCAGTGGAGTCTAAATAATCTCACAATCTCAATACATATCGACCTATATTCAGAGGCCTTAGTACGAATTTCTTTTTAGTTTAAAGTAATCGAAACGAGAAGGCGTTCTGTGCTCTGATTGGTTGGTTCATTAGAGCCGGCCAATCGCAGCGCCGAACGCGTACTCGTTACGATTACTTTGTGGACTTCCTGTGGCTGATATGGTGATGATGATGATGATGATGATGATGATGATGATGATGATGATGATGAAGTGGCTACTGATGATGATCAAAACTTACATCTTCAGCGATAAGGTTATTCACTTTGACACCTGAAACACTTCTCTGTTGAGTTTTTACTGTTATCGTGGCCTGAAACAAAAAAAATTAATTAAAATCACGCCTTTTTTACCCCCGAAGGAGTAGGCACATTACGGCACTTAATGCCACTATGCAATGTAGCATCCACTGTTCACTATTTATGTTACAAGTCCCATGTAATACGGGGTGAGCCTATTGCCATATACCGGGCACATTTCCAGACTTCGTGCTACTACTGAGATTTTTTTTAAAACCTAGTAATACTTTGCCCGACCCGGGTATCGAACCCCTTCCCCGGCAGTCCGTCAGTCAGTCAGCAACCACTTGGCGAACGAGGCAATGAGGCTGTTGAAGATAGCTGCTTCAAAATTTCGTTTCAATATTCCTCTTCACACACATACATGTATACGTTGCAAATTAAATATAAGATTAAAAAAAATATTATTGTAAGGTTTTTTTTTGGGATAGATAGGGATTACATACATACATAACTTCACGCTTGTCTCCCATGGGGGTAGCAGAGACTACGGAACGCCAATTGCTACAATTCCTACATACCTCTTTCGCTTCATCAACAGTCATCAATCTTTTCATGCATGCTCGTCGGTTAAGGGTACTTTTAATTTGGCCCTTCTTTAATATATCGCATATCTGGCCAGTATATGTATAGCCGTCTACCGACGGCCTCATTTATATCCGCTCTGTTTACTTCTTTCGTTACTCTACTTTCATCCATCCTTTCTACATCTCTAAACCAGCGTAACATTCCCTTTTCAATCTTTGTCACTACATCATCTTTCAATAGGTATTCTTTATGGAATACCTACTTTAAGCTAGTTATGTTAGTATTGTGGACTATGCGGTGGGCAACCGGCTGCCGCGCAACGTGTCCCGGTATCGAATCCCGCACGGAACAACTCTACGTGTGATCCACAGATTGTTGTTCTGAGTTTGTTTGATATGTGTATGTGAAATTATGTTTTTAAACGCACCCATGACACAGGAGTAAATACTAGTGTGTAGCGTTTGAAAAAACGAAAGGAGCAGAAGTCCGGTATAACTAATACTAACGTCCAGTTTCTATAACCTACCTATCTATCTATAGATTTGCTTACTAGAGATAGAATTTTCACACATTTTGTATGGAGCTCATGTCAAAATCTATCTCTAGTAAGCAAATCTTATTTCCGATGTACAGAGACTACTTTAACAAATGTTGTGAATCTATATAGAGGTATATAAAAGAAAGTCGTGTTAGTTACACCACTTATAACTCAAGAACGGCAGAATAAATTTGGCTGAAAATTGGTAGGGAGATAGCTTAGAGCCAGGAGACCGACATAGGATACTTTTTAACCAATTTTTTCTTTTACTTTTTCACGGGACGGGAAAAAATGGGATTACGCATACGAAGTCGCGGGCAGAAGCTAGTTTTTCAAAATCGGAAATTTTTTTTAAGGGCGGAAAATGTTCGAATGATTGCTCCCGCTTGGGTGAGGCGGATAATCGAACATTTACGAGTTAAAAAACAAAACAAGAAATAATCAATAACATTCCACGCGAGCCGAGACATCTTGTAAAACGCAGTGGCTTGATAGTTACGCTTGAAAACACTTGATACATTAAACAAGTAGATAAAAAAAACTTATAACAAAAAAAAAATATCAATCATACAAAATTGTAATCAAAAAATGTATTTTTTTACAAAACGGTTCACGTCTTTTACCCCGAAGGGATAGCCAGAAGTGCACATTACGGCACTTAATGCCACTGTACAATGTAACACCCACAGAACATATAAAGGCGTAACACCCACTTTTCACTATTTATGTTATGAGTCCCATGTAGTTAATAGGGGGTGAGTCTATTGCCATATACCGGGCACTATTCTAGACTCCATGCTATTACTGAGAATTTTTTCTATACGGGAAAGTATTTTAACTAGTTTAACATATCCCGTATGGTCTAGTGGCTAGGATACCTGGCTTTCACCCAGGAGGCTCGGGTTCGATTCCCGGTACGGGAAAAACTTTTTGCAGAAATTCTACAATTTTTTTTCGCTTAGTGAGAGATTTTTTAAAATTTCAAAATAAAAATTGTTAATATGCGATACATGATAATATTTCTAAACATTGGTTATACCAGAAAAATATGACGAAAATATATCCCACCTAGGCCCCGGCGAGGTTCGAACTCGCGATCTCCTGTTTACTAGACAGGCGCTTTAACCAACTAAGCCACGGCGCCTCCGACATTATTTCGCAAAATAGTCAAACACAATTTGACAAATTATTTATAACAAAGTGTGTGTGTGTTAAATCCTTAACTCGTCGAGTACCGGTTTTATAGACACAATTAAAGAACAATAGGTCGCGGTCACCGGTGACCGCTTGGTGTTTGACAGTTTAATCAAAAGTAAAATATTTCGACTGTTCAATACAACAAAATATTAAAAAACAATCTCACTTTCATTAATTGATTTTATGACCAGCTCTTACTTTTAGTATCTTTCCAGCAAATTTTTAAGAAATAAGTACGCTGTTAGACGCTAAAAAAACAACGGCGTCGACGAGTGACGTCACAATACACAATCTATTTATATTATATATATATATAAAAGAAAGACGTGTTAGTTACACTATTTATAACTATAGAACTGCATAATCAATTTGGATGAAAATTGGTAAGGAGGTAGCTTAGAACCAAGAGACGGACATAGGATACTTTTTATCTTTTTTTTTTTACTTTTTATCGAGTATCACGAACGGGAACGGGAAAAAACGATATTGCGCGTACGAAGTCGCGGGCAGAAGCTAGTCTCGTATAAAATTCATAGAAAACTGTCGTTTTTGACGGTTCGAAAAAAAGTATTGAATTTCATTAGTTGGCAAGTAACCAATTAAACCTATAAAAAACCTAAATTCCAAAGAGAAAAGTTTATTATAGACTAGCCGCGGTTCGCCCGCGTTTCCAGGGTAAAAGTACCCTATGTGTTACTCCAAACAATAATATAGGTACCTCTGTACCAAATTTCATCATACTCAGTTCAGTTGTTTTGGTAAGTAACAAACGTATACACAAATTCAATTTTTTTCACTTTTTTAATATCGGTTCAAGCTAATTTCAATAGTAATCGGCAACCTAACATTCGACAAACTTACGTATGCGTTTGGTACAGTAACTGTGTCTAGGTATTGAGCCGCACAATTAAGTTGGTTTTGCGTGTTCAATGGGCAGAATTTAAACTTCTACAGTTTTATTACACATAAATAATAACATAACATCACGCCTTTTAGCCCCGAGGGGGTAGGCAGAGGTGCACATTACGGCACTTAATGCCACTGTACAAGGTAACACCCACTTTTCACTATTTATGTTACGAGTCCCATGTAATAGGGGGTCAGCCTATTGCCAAATACCGGGCACACATCCAGACTCCGTGCTACTACTGTGATTTTTTTTTAAAACCCAATAATACTTTGCCCGACCTGGGAATCGAACCCGAGACCACTTGCGATCACTTCATCACCGGCAGTCGCACTTGCGATCACTTGACCAATGAGGCAGTCATTATTATACCTATGTATAAGAAAAATATTTTTCCTTATTTACCTACTATAAGTAAATAAGAAAAAAATGGTAGATAGGTACATCATTTTCCTTATGTACTTAAATACTTTTTTGAAATTAATTTGAACAAATATTAACAAATTAAACAATATAACATCGTTATACCGTTTTACATAATATAACAGCTGTTGTTTACATACACTCATTTTTCAGTTGGTTTCAGTGACTTTTTGTACAGTCGAGAGAGTTTATAATTGACCCATCGTAAATTAAATATCATAATGAACATTAAAATATCTTTAATGAAGTAATCGTAAGTAGTATAGTAATGGTAGTTTCCTAAATTTTATTTAAATGTCCGTCTGGTAGATTAATATAAAACTTTAGACATGTATTTTTTATTTTCTCACAAATTTAAATACTTTCGACGATATAAACATTAATTTGAAATATCGTGTGACGTCACAGCGTCCCACAATTTGTAGCACGTTATGACGTAACGACCTCCCACTCCTAAACTTAGCGCCATTTTATCCAAGTATTGCAACTTAATAAGACAAAATAAAAAAATACGTGTCTAATATTTTTTCATTATCTAACTAACGAACTAATTAGATTTTTAATTTTGATACCCTGGAAACTACCATATTATGATTTTTTCATATAGAAATTGAGATAGGATTTGTAGATTAAAAATAAATATTTCAGTTGGTACCTACGCAACTTTCTACAAATAAAACTAGTTTTGGTAATAATGAAGTAAAAATAGACTGCCTCATTGACCGAGTTGTCGCAAGTGCGACTGCCGGGCAAGGGGTCTCGGCTTCGTTTCCCGGGTCGGGCAATGTATTACTGGTTTTTTTTAAAAAAAAACCTCAGTATGGCAGTGGCGTGCAGTCCTTAAAGGCGAAAAGGCTTTGCCTGACTTATAAATATCGTGAATATATAACATACATAAAATGTACAAACGCGTTTATTAAGATTCAATAATATAATAAGTTTGTAAAAAAACGGCTAACATAAATATACATTCACATATATACTATACACGGACCGCACGCCTTTGTAAAGCAATGAATGCGCCCCGTACGCACCACGCATGCGCAGCTATTCCTTAAATCTTGGTTGCCAGTCGTGACGTCACAAAAGTAATATACTAAAAGTATGCACCACGCATGCGTGAAGATCACGACCATAGTCACGTGACAGAATAACCATTCATAATTATATTACACGATTCCTGTTGATTGCCAAAATTTTGGCAACTAAAAAATTAGAGGATCGTTCGTTCATTACTTGGAAAACGATCGTATTTTATTAAGAATTCTAAAACAATAAAACAGCAATAAGTTATTGTATTTTTAAAAACAATTAAATCATAAAAGGTTTTAAGTTGATACAATCTGTACATCGTAAAGTACTGATGAATGGAGTACACCAGCGCCATCTATTGAATTTTTTGTTGAAACTTCTGAACTCAT